TGCTACTGTTACGATAATAAATATTATGGGGTATAAAACTGTAAATATATTATGACTAATTCTTTTCTATTTCTAGTAACTTCGGCGCTCAAACCTGTTTACCTGCCGGCAGAAATTACTAGACTCTTCGACGACTAGTCCATGAGTCACCTAATGGATGGAAGGTCATCGATGCATCGCCAGACCCTTCTAGATAACGGCATTTTATATATAATAACGGGGATTTGGGAAGTTAGTCAAAAAGAAGTCCGGGCTCGCGTTCAAAATTGTATCGCAAGTAGATAAATTATTAAGTGTAAAATAAAAATTAGTAGTAATAAAGACTTTGATAAATATTTGAGTGTTATAAATACTGAACCTTTAGTAAATTAAAATAAGAACAATAAATTAGAATTAATAAAGACTTTACACTACACTACTCTTAAAGAAATCTTAAGTGACTATTCAGATCATATTGTGATCTATACAGAGGGGCAAAATTACTAACATGTACAACAAGTGCTTACTTTGTACCAAAAATGAAGATTAAAAAATCATTTATTTTAAATAATCAATCCAGAATTTTTCTGCTGAAGCATGTGCTATATACAAAGCCTTTGAATTGTGCTGTGAAAACCAGTGGAAGAAAATTGTTATATGCAGTGATTCACTGTCAGTATTACACTTCTTACAAAACTTTAAATTCACAATCAATAGCAATATATTCATATTAGAAATATTTCAACAGTTACTAAAAGTATCAGATCCATATGGTACTAAATTTCTATGGGTTAAGGGACACTCAGATATTGTTGGCAATACTATTGCTGATTCTATAGCTAAAAATCCATTACAGCACCCACATATGGTGATAGAAGAATTAAACACATGTGACCTACTTGTCTATATAAAAGAACATATTAAATTTAAATGGGACAGACAATGGATTCAGTTTCTTGAAAGCAGGGGCACTAATTTATACAAATTACAACCAACAGGAGATGTAAAACAATTTTACAAAGATGGTACACTAAGCAGAAATACAGTGTCAACTGTCTTAAGATTAAAAGTAGATCATGGATGTTTTCCGAAACATCTACACAAAATAGGAGGTCTCCCAACAGACCGATGTGAGTGTGGAACTAGTATAGCTAATTTAAATCACATATTCTTCAACTGCCCACTACATCGTAATACAAGCACGTGGCTGCTAAAAGAATTGATATAGGTTATTCCACGAATGTACGACTGTTTTGGTTTACGGCGACAACGAATATTTTACTGTGCAAGTAGAAGTATGAAGGTAAATTGGTACAATCATTATTCCAATAAAAAGGGTCTACTAGTATGACATCTTAACTAAAATTATTTCAGTTAAAATTTACAAATAAATACAATGACGTCTATGAAGCCAAATGTGTTCATCAGACATTTGGGTTAGCTTTTCGTGAAATGTAAACACCAAAGAGGTGTGCCGGATTTCTTTGATATTACACTAGTTTATTACTTTATTAGGTATTACAACTGTAATAAAAAGAAATATACTATTTATAAATGAAAAGAAATTGGCAGAACGATGGTTCAGAAACCAGAAAAAGGATCTAATATTTCACGTTGTTAGTTTTAAATATTTGTTTGCTTTTAGTTTATGTACTCTTAAAAGCTCCGAAACTAATGGGTATAACATACCGGCTATTGATAGTTAAAGTACTGAGTCGTTACAGATATTAAAAAGTAACGAAAATTTATATACAGTTTCATATAACGCCGACTGATTATGGCTGTGAATCTGATCGTTGATGATAGTTTTAGAAGATTAAGAGAATAAGTAAGTTTTTTTGTTTTTTTAATATTAATTGAATATTCGACTAAATAAATTACACTATTTGATAACTTAAAGTATTGTTACATTTCGTTTAAATTACATAATTCAAAAACCAACTTGTTTACAATACTAAACTCCATGATAGTAATTATATACTTCAAAATCTGAATTACAACTGTTCTATAAACTATTAACTTTATATTTAGGTATATCATGACTTCATATTTAAATTTAAGGTTTATATCTGTCGTAACAGTAATGGGGAGAATTTACTATTGTACAATTCACCACATTAGACCATTTAAATCGACACCTTAAAGCGAATTTAAAACAGTCGTATATTCGTGGAATGGAGTATAAAAGAGGGTTTAAGTACACCATTAAACGTAAATCTTCTATAAAGTGAAGACAATATAAAAATATTTAAAATAATTATGATATTTCTTGTAAAAATTAAATTAAAGGTATGAGTGTAAAATTGATCGTATGCTTGAACATTTCCTTTGTATGTTTACCATATATGTTGCCCACCTACCTAACCGTGGTTTATGTCTTGTTTGTTACAATAAAGCTCTGATGAATCCCGGAGCGTGAAAAGTGTCCTCCTTGTACAATTCTGTATGAATGAATACTAATATTTATATGAAATTACGTGGCTAAAGGTTTCAAGCCAAAGCCAATAATCAAAAAAAAATTTAAAAAAAATCATCTATAAAGTTGTTTGAAAAATCCAATACTTTTCTCCAAAATATCTCCAAAAATATACGTTGTATCGAAAATTTTATAAAGAACAAAATTGTAGCAGGTAAAAAATGAACAATTTGGTTTTTTATAAAGTATTCTAAGTGCAATATTAAGCTAGATATTAAAGATCAAAGTCGTTTTTTATTTTGTCTGAAATTTAATCGATGGGGCCAGTGCCATCTAGCGGCGAGCAGATGCATTTTGTTCAATCTAATATAAAACTGTTTTGTAGTGCTTGAAATAAGCTTTAAAATAAGCTTTATTAAAAGCCTTTTGCACGTAAAGTAAGTGAGCTGTATGGCAAATAAGAGGAGCATCTAATGTTATTTCGTTTAAATCAATGGGTTTCAAGTGCCATTTCCACCAAAATTGAAGTTAATCGTATTCCGCCTAGAATTAACTTTATTATGAAGAGTTTGATAAATTGTATCAGTTTGGCTGCTTCAGGACACATATTTTCAAAAAAGTCACGATTAAAAAAAATTCAAATTTAAAAAAAAACACCTTTTTTCATAATATCTCAAAAATGACGACAGATACGTATAAAAGTATGGGGATAAAAAATTTAGGTATTTTTCTGACAAACAATTTGGTTTTGTTTGTTTTTTTTCTGTCAAACAAAAATTGACGGAGATATGATTGTTTAAAGAGTGCGTGGCAGCGCAATCACAGTCTCTCTTAAGCCCTTTAACCATTCACCGCTTTAGAAAAAGGTTTTTACTATATATTGCAATAAAGGATGTTGTAGCTCTCATAATTACCTTTACAATGGTTTTTTATAAATTGTGATAGCATGAAAATTGGAGTTATAGTCCAAAAACTTATCATATTTTTTTCTACGTAGTAACTGAAAATTTCGGAGTGTGAATATTTGTAGCAATGTGAAAGTACGCAGTATAATAGAGACCCAAAACTATTGTAATGTGTACATATATACATAATATGGTTCATATATTTTGGAAACGTAGGCATGAATACATACCAACGTTCTTATATGTATGTATAACACATTTGAGTGAAGGGGCCAACGAAAAAGCCAGGTGATCAGCTGTGCGTGCTCCGTTTATTCGTTATAATTAGACCAGTATATTTCCGTCTGCAAAGAAATGAGCACGTGTTTAATATAATATTTTAACTAGACACCCAATTTTAATTCTTCTTCTTAAGGTGCCCTATCAAGTCCCCTTGACCTTGGCGATTAACATGGCGAAACTGTCTCTGTCTCGAGCTATTCTAAATAGTTGCTCAGCTTTCTTTATTCTTGTCCACTCCCTGATATTCTTCAACCAAGAGGCCTGCTTTCTACCAATTCCTCTGCGTTCTTCGATTTTACCCATCAAAATAAGTTGAAGAAAATTATATCGGTCTCCCCTTACTACGTGTCCAAAATAGGCCATCTTTCTACATTTGATGTTACCAATTTCAATACAGTTTGTTTAATAAAAAAATGTAAGTAGATATGACGGTTTTTTAAATCCACTTAAGTCTGTAGATCCACCCGCACCACACGGGTGAGAACTCCTGAAAATGATTTTTTGCAACTGCAAAAAAGGATGTGGAGCGTTTTGCGCATGCAGAAGAGTTGGTATTTGGTAATAGTACCTGTGGAACGTGCAGTGGAGATAACTGCCAAAATAGCCCTCCAATTCAGCCAGAAGATGTTGAATTTGACAGCGACTCCGACATTGAGTCATGAATAATAATATTATATTTTAATAATAATAGTACAATTTTATATAATTTGTAAATATTTTGTTCAATAAATGGCAATTTTTAACTTTAAATTAAATTATTTTTAAATATGTAATCATATACATTTACTGTTTTAATTTAGGGGCAGTTTTAAGGGTAGAAAAGCTTAAGAATATGATAATCATTTTCGAGGGTGTGGAATAATATTTAAATCCTTTTCATTTTATCAAAAAAAAATTTTTTATCAAGAGGTAGTTTTCAAGGGTTGAAAGGGGTTAAAAATTTGATAATTACAGAGAATATAAAATATTACTTACTTACATCTTTTTATATCATACCAAAGTATTTTTTCAAAAGTGACACACGATTCACTCAATTCAATAATATCGGCGAACTGGAGGAAGTACTGAAATTCATGCCATTCGACCTGACTGACAATCTCTGAGAAGATCTCAATTTAAGCACATTATTTAAACTGTTTTTCATTTAAATAACCAATGATCTGCTTCTGCTCTTAAAAATTAAACATTGTTTCTTGAATCTGTCCAACGAATTTTTTGCATTTTAACATCTTGTATATAGAAAATTACTAACTTTAGGGCAATAGTGATACATATTTCCTTTTTTTTTAATTCCATTGTCTATTTAATTCTGACACAAAAAAATGTAGGTACTAACAAACAAAATGCCTTTACAGTATATTGTTCCTGATTGTATTAATCTATTAACTAAATATAATATGAATTCGAAAATAACTTACCTGGACTGTCGAAGACAGAATCAAAATGGCAGTTAATAAGCAAACTATGCGGCGAATTAATCTTAGATCCAATCTTAACAACAACATTTTGTACGTCCTGGTAAACATTAGTCATTCCATCGAGAAATTCCAAGTTAAAAGCGCCGGATGCCTTCTGAATGTCTAATTCTATCACATGATTTTCGTTGGCATTCTGTATGATACTGTCAATTTCATGTTTTAACACATTGACTGCCAGAACTTCGTTTTCGTAACTGCCCGCAATCCGAGGGCCGATTTTTGTTAAATTTTTTAAAACGTTGTACGCCCTTTCTGCTATAAAAGTGTCTGTGTGTTTGTGTTCATCTTCTATTTTTAACGCTAATGGTAGTTGTTTTTCGATAAATATTACTAATGAAAATACTATAAGAATTAAACATAGGAGACCTAAGAAGTGGACGTAGGGCATAGGACGATGGAATTTTGACTTTTCATACTTGCTTTCTGTGAAGATTCTAGGCGGTGCTTTTTCGTTAAATCTGTTTCTCAAAAGCGTGTTCTGGAACAAGAAAAAAAATTAATATAAATTTATTAAAACCATACCACCATACAAAATGTGTCGTACTAGAGAAAGCATTGGACCCTGTTTTTAAAAATTTACGATTCTTATTGATTATTTCTGGACTCTTCTAAGATCACTGTGATAAACAAATTCAATAATTTTTAAATTCATTGATGAATCGATCTGAAATTTTGACGGTTTGTTCAGCATCACAAGACTAAAACATTGGACGCAATCACGAAGATGTAGGCTGATTATTAAAAGACTTGTTGTCTTTAATTCCTTGGTGGATGATAGAAACAGTGAGCTGGATGTGTTGGTCGTTTGGGGTAACCTGTCACGCTCTGGGGCCATTTAACTATAATAAAATCTCAAACTTTGAAAACCATTTTGTGTGGCCCAAAGCGGCAATAGGTAGCTGGAAATACGAACTGGAGGAAACCATCTTCAAATGGCACTTACGTTTTGCGACTAGATTGTCGTGAGTGAAAGTTCCAGCAAGATTTAGAACGGTTACAAAAAAGACCAAAAAATAAACAAACAAAAATTAGTTGGTTTTATTAAGAACATTAACGAAACCAGATGACACTAAAAATTAGAAATAGAAAAACTAATTTGAGTAAATATGAGGAAGAGGACATAGAACAATAGTGAAAAACATCAAAACCAACATCCATAAGGTTTTACAAAATGTTCTAGAACAAAAAAGGAACCAAACATACAAAAGTTGGATCACAGAGGAAATGCTGAATAATGCTAATTGGAGGTAAGATTTTTCAAATACAGATCAAATTTGGGTGTACTTATAGAAGGAAATATTGGTTTGGGTTTTTTTGTTACTTTCTTGTGTACGGGCATTGTTGTTTTGGTCTTTTAAAAGGACAGTAGTAATAAGCACTACAAAACAGTTATTTTTTTAGGAAACCGTTACATGAGTTAATTACAGAACTTAAGACAGATGAGAATCCAATGTCTCTTGATGGTATAATTTTTTTCCTCTAGACAATGCAAATGATAATATAACAGATTGCTACTCAGGAGACGAGGATGTCACAACGATAGATCATTTACCAGGAAGCCAGCTGAGAAATGGCGTGGAAGTTATTTTCCGACATACGACGACGTACCTCTTGCCACACTAGGCAAACAAGAAACAAAACCTTCGATTATTCTCCAAAAACTAGGATCTGCACAACGGCTTGTAGGTAATCTGTACCAGCATTCTAAACATGTATACTGGAGACCAGAAATCGGACCTAAACAAAATCGCACGCCATTACATCTCTTCAGGCCATTTTTTGACGACGACCTATTCAATATAATAACAACATATACAAATACATACGCGGCACAAAAAAACATTACTAATGATGTTACAAATAATGAAATTAGTTGTTTTATATGTATATTATAATATGTACCTATTGGGAAAATCGTGATGACAGTTATAATGGAAAAGTCGCTGCGACTTTTATCGAGAGCTAGATTTTTCCATATACTGAAAATTCTTCATGTGTATAATATTAATAGTTTGGACAAAACAGACAAGTTTGCTAACATACGGCCATGATATAATGCATTAAATACAATTTTTTTAAATCACGCTCCCTTAGAACAAGAACATGGCATATATGAAGATACGGTACCATATTTTGGAAGGCACCCTACGAAACAATTTATACGAAACAAAACCCATTCGCTGGGGTTATAAGATCTAGATGGGTACTCTCCGTCTAGGTTATATTGTATGGTGTACACCATATCTGGGCAACTCAATGCAACAATGCGTGACAAGTTGGATGAGGACGTTTGGTGTCAAGGGTACAAAATCCGGGGTAGTGAACCAGTTCAAGCTGTACCCTCTGTATGAGATACTACTGGACAGGAAACTTGAGGATACCCGAAAGCTGTTTCCACCCGGCCATTGGAGGGGCAGAGAGACGCCGAAGCTGAGCGATCTCTACTTTTTACCGTAGACGAACTTAACGAAGCGTTGAGTGCCCTAACGACACGAAAGGCTCCGGGACTCCATGGGATATCACCAAAATCGGTGAAACGCATTGGCAGTATTGAGCCGACGTGGCTTTTGAAACACATGAATGTACTGCTTGAAACTTAGCGATTTCCGACAAATTGGAAGAACTCTAGACCCGTGCTGTCACCCAGGGAGTACGGTTTCAGAAAGAACAGGAGCCGGTGGATGCGCTGATAAAAGTCTTCCGGAAGTTACGCGGGGTGAGGATTAACCAGAGGTAGGCAATCCTACTGTTGTTTGACGTCCGGAATGCTTTCAACACATTAAAATCGAAAGAGGTAATGAAGGCTCTACAAGGAAGAAGGTGTCCGAGGTACTTGATGAATTTGGTCTCCGACTATCTATCAGAAAGGAAAATTGTGGTAGAAAGTGGTTGCCGTGACGGCTGGAGTGCCGCAGGGATCTTGGCAGATGACGGGGTTGTGAGCCAACAATACGTAACCACTTTCGCATTTGTGGACGACTTCGCTAAGCTAGTAGTGGCGCGGGACAGGGAGGACCTTATCTTTGGTGCACAGCGTACATGCAACCAAGTCGAGGAATAGATGACAAAACATGAGCTAGAACTGGCTGCGGTAGGACCGAGGCTATAGTTCTCAAGGGGCTAAAGAAAAGGGACGGGATAACATTTGAATGTGCAGGAAAGAGAGTGGTTCCAAAGAAATGCGTGAGGTATTTAGGAGTGCCTCAAAAGTCAAAACGGAAAGTGGGGGGAGCACATAAAGTCGGTGACTCAAAGAGCTCCGGTGAGATCTTCCGCGTTGGGGGGATCATGCCCAACATCGGAGGGCCCAAAACTAAGCTGCGCCTGTCTGGAGTACTGCAATTTTAACAAAGGCATACAGAAAGCAGCTCACCCGAGCAGATAGGAAGAGTCTATGAGAGTGGCGTGTGTATACACAATAGTCTCTGTCGAGGCGTTGGAAGCTATCATCGGGTGTACGTGCTAGTGAAGGAAAGAGGAAGAATATACGAGAGAAAAAAAACTTAGCAACAGAACCTTTAAAAAATTAAGAAAGCTAGAGGTCCATAATGGTGTGACAAGAGGAATGGGACGCGATGAAAAGGCTGGCGCAATGGAAGAAGTCGTTGATTCCTAATCTGAAAAGATGGATGGATTGCGGGCACCGGCATTTGAATTACTTCCTGACGCAGATGCTCACAGGACATGGTTGCTTCAGGGCATCTCTAGATTTGCAAAGGCAGAAAATGACAAATACCTGTATTGTGAAATATCGGACACTTTCTCACACACTCTATTGGTATGCGATGGATGGATAGGTGAGAGGAGCCTCCTGGAGAGAGAGCTAGGAAGTAGGGTGCAATCAGTCACGAAACTGGTGGAGATGCTTAGGTCGTCAGATCGGTGGAGATCAGTTCAGAGATATGTGAGAAGAACATTGGAGAGAAACGAACAAGAAAAAAGGCGACCCGAAGGGAGGCAGGTACCCAGGAGCAAGCAAGAAGATAAGGCAGAATGAGAAGGGTGAGATTAAACATGAACAGGGAGGAACAGAGGGAAAGAAGAATTCAGTCGTAGTGAGAAAGGGCTATAGTCAGACTCCAGAAATCTAGGCAGTAAATTCTTGGAGGTAATAGTGACGATTCATCGCTATTGTAGGTCTTCCAATGGCGTACGAAAAATGTCATAAGAAGTTAAGACAAAGCTACTTGTATTAAATAAATAGGTATCTATTTATAATTATGTAATTTTAATATGATTATTATTGACATTTGGGACATATATATATATATATATAATATATATATATATATATATATAAATATATATATATATATATATATATAAAATATAATATATATAATATATAATATATATATATATATATATATAATATATATATATATATATATATATTAATATAATATACATGGTGTTGGCAACGAATTAAAATAGGCCGATATTAAACTAACTTACTTTAGTACGAATGTTGATAATAACCAAAATAAAGGGTGTCAAAGGTAAACTTTTATTTTTAAATATTTCATGACAAGCATGGTATAACAACACGAAATTTGGTAAGCTGGAGTTTTTTGGGATGAGAAATCTAAATTAGCCACTAAAAATTATGAAGGACGCCACATACGTCTTTCAGTTCTGGTTTAATACGTTCAATTTTTTTATCTCCCACTCGACATACTTTTAGAATCAAAACTTTTATTCTCTTAATATTTTTACTTAGAAAAGATATACTACATCGCCGTACAACTCAATACTTTCTATTATTGTTTTATAAATTTGAGTTATAGGTAATGGATTTTAACAAGAGCTATGACCTTTTAAATAATAGGTAAACTTGTGCACTGCATCGGCATGACTCAAAGCTCTTGTCAAAATCCATTACCTCTAATTACAATAAATAATAATTTTAGGTTAGAAGGTAATAGTTATACCTCCCTAAAACCTAAAAGTGTATACAGAATTGTAAACAATGTTAAAGAAAGTGAAGGCAAAATGGATGATGGACCTGTTGAAACCATTGAAACCAAAGGTAGAAACCGCATCCAGCTTAAAGATCATACCAAATATGCTATTCGGAGGAAATTCCATGCTTTCTTTTTTCGGAACGAAATTCCAAACTTTAAGAAAGTTGAAGTTTTTTTTTTATTGTACCGGGTGGTCCAATAAGCCGATCTCTCGGCTATATATCAGAAACTATTCATGTTACAACTTTAGGAAAAAAATCGCTGGGAATAACTTTCAAGATTCTGGATTAACCGCTAGGGGGCGTAATCTGCGAAGAAACTTCTGAAAACCAGTTTTTTGGAAAATATCTCAAATTATACCAGGTGTTAAATAAGTAAACTAGAAAGAGGCATAAATTCTGCACAAAGTTGTTCAAGTACTTTTTTTTATTTTTTCAAATAAAGGGTGGGGAGAGTGGGAAAGTATTTGTGGATAAATACCTATAACTTTAATTTGGTCCAACCGATTTTAATG